ATAACCTCTCCCACAAAGTATCATATCTTTTGACTTAAATTTTGAAATCAGGATAATTTTTAAATATATATATGATGGCTGAATATAACAGTTTTTATAATCCAGTATTTCTTAGCAGCAAAAATTGAAAGAGAACACAATAAAATGCAGGATCTTGACTCTCTGTGTATTTTCCATCATTACATTGCTTGCTACATTTTTTATTACTCTATTCCCTTTTTAAGGACTTTCTTTATTCTTTTCCTTTCTATCCCAGGCCTATGCAATTTTTAAACACATTGTAACCTGTTTAGAGTTTTTTTCCCATCTGAATCTGATTTTACTACATATCTGTAACCTTCTCTGTCTATATAAGGCAAAACCCTAAACTTACAATGCAGCATGCTGGTGGAGCTTGTGCTGGTAGCTTAAGCCCACAGACAGAGGCTAAGAGAAGGTTCTCTGTACTGATGTCATGTAAGAGGTTGTAGAAACCCGCCATGTGTCTTAGTTCATGGTGTACTGGCAACTGCCAGGAGATCAAACCCTGTGACCAGCAAGAGAGACACAAGACTAGGAAGCCAGGTTTGATTCAGTTTTTGTGTTTAGAACGTTCTAAAGCCTTCTCGGCTCTTATGTGGATCTACATCAGACAGTGGTCACCATTTGAAGGTGGAAGTTTCTGTTCCCCAAGCAGCTCCCAAATAAATACACTGAGGCTTATATTATTTACAAATGCTAGACCAATAACTCAGGCTTATTACTAGCTAACTTTTACAGTTATGCTAACCCATATTTTATATCTCTGCTTTGCCACGTAGAGGAATCATTTGCTGCTCTCTCTGTGTCTGACTTGCAATTCCTCTGACACTGTGCTCTTCATCCCAACATCATTAGTTTGGTTGTCCTGCCAATACTTCCTCCTGGCTACCAGCCAATCAGCTTTTTATCATCAATGAAAGCAACACATTTCAAGGTGTACTGGATTATTCCATAGTAAAAATCCTCCAGAGAGGCATCAAGATACATGAACTGAAAAAAAGAGGGGGAAACAACAGGGTGGTCAGGATGACTGAGGCATAAGAATGAGGCTTGGGAGCAGAAGGCCAGTTGAATCCATCAGATCCTTCCATACATGTGAGATCCCAGGGATCGTGACATGAGTCGAGATCTCTTGTGATATCCAGTACCTCTGATGCTTTATGGTTCCCAAGGGTCTAACAGAGTCACCCCTGTATTTCCACATCCCCTTTCTTTGTCCACCTTGTTCACACAGGCCTGGGTTCCAGTTGAGTTCCACCCTGGCTCTCAGCACAAGCACTTGCATAATTGTTGAGCCCAGGACCACAGGTGGCACAGGGACACTTAATACAGTGCTTCTCCAGTGTGGAACATAGCAGCTTGGCAGACATTCAGGTGGGTAGGTAACCAGTGAAGCCAAGATAGTCCACAGGTTGACAGGCATAGACGGTATCAGGGGCAGCCTGCCCCAGAGGCCCTGACCCAGCTCATTACCAGTGTGGGCAGCTTCATCAGCTGCAAGGGGGTAATTGGGCCCAGGAGACACTGGGCTCCAGCTAAAAAGCTGTAACTGTTTTTCCCTACACTTGAGGAGCCCATGTTCTAAGAATCTGTCTGAAACTCATCTAGTCACTGTGGTCAGCCTGGGAGCCACCAGCCAGGAAGGGGCTCCTCTGTGTTCCCAAATTCTGTCCAAGTGAGACCTCCAGAGCCCCAGGTAGGATGAGTGCTTCTCAAGCCCAGATGGCCCCGTGCTGTGATTTCAGAGTGTGTTGTGTAATGTGCATCATAGAGGATCTACGTGTGCGGTGAGACAGAGACCTCACCATGCCTGTCCACACTGAGGCTGGGGCAGGATTCCCTCCTCAGTCACAGCACCCAGCACAAAGGCTCACAGTACTGCATCAAAGGGTGTGGTGTCTGTAAATGCTATCTGAGTGGTCATCTTTGGACACTGCAGGGAGTGTGTATTGATGGAGACCGTGTGAGTATGCATCTGTGAGCACTGTGCCCAGTGTGTCTAGATTAGTAGTGTGCTTAGTCTGATGTGTCCCTGGCCAGGATTTCTGTGCTGTTTGTTGATGAGTCCTGTGTTGAGCAAGCATTAATAGATGTTGGTTGACTGAGAATCAATCAATGTTGTGTTGAGTATGGATTTGTGAGAATTGTGCTGAGTGCATGTTTGGAGGTCCATGCTGAATGTATAGTGTGGGATGCTGTGCTATGTCCTCCCATCTAGCAGCACACAGTCTCAGTCAGCATCCTCACTGCACTGAGCACATCAGAGTACATCTGCTCCCCTCCCTGACTACGTCCTTATTCACAGGTTCTATCAGGCAGGAAGATAGCCTCTGAGCTCACAATTACAGACTGACATAAGGCAGGAACCCTCTTCCATTTCTCTCTTGGTTTCTTGCATGGACATGAGTTTGAACTATATGCAGGGGCATTCGGTCTTAGGGAACTGGTACACCAGGCTTGTGATGAGAGAACCTCTGACTCCTCATCAATACTCATAGGGTACTCTAGTCTACACAAAAGCCATGAAATGAGGCACAAAAATGTAGTTATCCTCGGAGTATCCCACACATGAGCTCGTCTGTGACCTGGTCAACTCCTCTCCTCAAGACCATTAAGGACCATAGCCTGGGTCTTAACACAAGTGGTATATATTCTCTCACAATTCAAAATAACAAGTTCAAATTTAAGTGGAAATTAAGGCAGGAATGGATGTGAAAACCAAGAGGTGGAAACTGCACAGTGTGGGTACAGCTGTGAACAGGTGCCTGGGCCACAACAAACTCTGACAGCCATCAGCCTTCAGGAAGATGAACCAAGGGCCCACAGACTTCTCTAAGTTTATACTTATTCTGAAATAGAAAGCTTGTTTGCAAGTGCACATAACCATGACCAATGTTCTGATGAATTGAGGATGCAGCTCTGGAAGGGCTCAGTTTGCAGACCAAGGTCTTCTCCATCCCATGGACCCATTCTTAGTTATTCCACCCACAGTGATGGGGAGCCACACCCTAACAGTGAGCACAGTCTGTGGGTATGTGCAGTCCTGGATGGGGACATGAGACACAGCTCCCCCAGTCTATAAATAATATAAACAGTCCCCATATGTAGGAGAGTGTTGATCCCTCCACTGAGTACTTATGTATACGTCAAAGCTCTCTGTGACCACATACCTGGGAAGAAGCACAGATACACCCTGGACCGTGTCCAAGACTAGATGTTCACCTACCAGGGGCAATGATCACTGAACTGAACTTAAAGGAGTTTGTGTAATGTCCTGGGAGATGTTGAAACACACGCTAGCATTTTACAGCAGGGATGACTGCCTTAATGGCATCAAAAATGTTCCTAAATTCAAACCTGTCTCCGAGAACTTGATTTCTAGAAAATTCCTTGAAGGCAGCTGCCTGCTGGTCAATACTTAGAGGAGCTATCACTTCCCAAGCTGCCCACTGTAGTGGGTGGATCTCTGAGAGGTTGTACGACCTCTACAGAGCCTTCTTGGGTGTCTGCTTATTTTGTGGACAGCTAGACTTCATGCTGAAACACACTACTCAACCTGCAGTAACTTTACCATGGGTTGTCATTTAGCCGCCTCCATGTCTGTGCCTCACTGGAATACGTGTCCACTCCAACCACTCTTGGGTACTGAACTCTGTCTACCCTGAGGCCCCTATCCACCTTCAGCAGTGCTTCTAGATGCCCCCCAGTCTATCCCCTGCTCCTTTGTGCCCTCCTCTAGAGGCCCCAAAGTAAATCACTTCACAAATGGCAACACTCTTTCCTGAATTTCCTTCATGCTCCCTCTGCTAGTTTCTTTAGTTCACACATGCCTATCTATTCTCTCAAATGCTGTTTAAAATCAGGGTTATGTATCACCACACGGACCTGGATTCTCCCTGGTTTCTACCATAAGAACAAGGACAAGTCTTGTGAGTTGCCCTAATTCTCACCCACTCACCTGCCAGTAGGAATAGCTAAGACCTGGAGTTGGCACCAGCACTTGGCACATAGGTCCTCTGTTGTACCCCATTCCACTGTGCCCACAACTCCATCCTTAGATGTTCTCTCTTCACCCAATGCTCCTGGACACATCCAGCTATGGGACTCCCTCCTTGAATCTGAATGGGTGCTACACTCTATATCCCTCACCAGCTCCCTATTCTGTGTCCTCCAGGATTATATTCGTGGTCTTGGAGGGGATCATTCATCTGCTGTGAGACAAACCTTCCCAGCTGTGTCTTCAGAGATTGACCTAGGCCTCCTCTGAGCGCATCTTCTGCATGGTCAAGTGAAGCTGGCTTCCCAGTTATCACTTTGATCTGAGGCCAAGGAAGGCGGTGATGCTGTCTACAACGGGTGGAATGTGTGTCAAGGAGTGTGAGCAAATCTGTCTGTGTCCCTCGTGTGTGTGTGTGTGTGTGTGTGTGTGTGTGTGTGTGTGTGTG